ACCTTAACACCTGGCATCTTAATCAGAAACAGAAATACAACAACACGAAATGGTAGTGTTACTAGCGGACTTCTGTAAGGTAGTTTTATTTATGCAACCAGTAAATACCTTACGAAGTTACAGAGCTTCGAAGGTGCGCCAAATGAAAGATAAATATCACATCTATCACCAGTGAATTTAGTGTCACCAAAAATGGCATTGGTTAGGCCAGGGGTGCTGTTTGGAAACAATAGTGAAGGTTCCAGGGCTCCACGGGGCAGCGGATGGGGTCAGGTAAATAAATTAATAAATATATCTAACACACATCAATTAGCCTAGCCCCAAAGTAAGCACTGTTAGGCTTGTGTTATGCGATACTAGGGTAACGGATACAATACATATACTGATACATATATAAGTATATTTATATATAAAAACATATTAAACATCTGTGACTAGAGTACAAATGCTCGTACTCATCCACAAACATCTGCCCCCACCGGGACTCGAACCCGGGACCTATCGAGTAAGTGACACCTCGAAACCCGACGTTCATACCATTCGGCCACGGAGGTCGTCACGGAGAAAAGTCAGTACCTTTTTTATTAGGCAGTTTTTACATAAAATTGTACTCCATGACATACATACAATATACTCTGTGGCAAACATGAACGTTATCTTATATATAAAATTCTCGTGTCACAATGTTAGTTCCTCCGAAACGGCCTGACCGATTTTTATGAAATTTTATATGCATATTCCGTGGGTCTGAGACTACTATCTATTTTTCATATCCATTTATATTAAGTGATAATGGTTGTCCACCTGTAACGCAGTGTTCTGAAACCTACAATGCGCCTTCGCGCCTAATTTCAAACTATTGGGTATTGTAACGTAGTGTTCTCATATCGGTTAGGAGAAATATTAGCCCAGGAAATTGATAGAACACTACGTTACACACCCCTATTTTTTGTACAATATTTATTTTTTTATAATGTGGTATTAAAAAATACATACAACCCTAACTTTTCTCTTCTACCACCTGCTCCTATTTTTACGGTGGTACGAAGTTCGCTGGGTCAGCTAGTAATACTATAATTAGCTTTATCCGTGCGGAGAGATTGCCCACTCTATGTTTTTAACTAGGCAGCGCTGCATCGTCCCCTTCTCAGGAGACGATCGCATCCAATGAAGCCTTAAAGGCCTTCCCGGTCAGTGGCAGTGTGTGGCAGGCGTGTTTATTAGTCAGTTAGAGTCTGATATAACCTTGCAGCCGGCTGTAGGGTATCCATGAGGATTTCTCAACCGCTCCCCCGCCTAGGAGCAAACAAAAATAAAACCGGAGAGATTTCGTCATCTTTTAGGCATTTTCTCAGTGTTTTCTTTTATTTAAAGTCGAGAGACGGGAAGCTGGGTAGTACTCCAATACAAACATATCTCATGCCTTGATATTATAATGTAACTTGTGGCCCGCCCTCACTTCGCTTCGGTGTAGTGCTGAAGTGTAGACTACAGTTTTTGTCTCAGGCTTGTATTACACACAATGACATTCATCTATGATTCTTCTTATACCTGCAGGCAAAGTCTCAGCCTGATCGGTTTAAAATTGACAAAGTTTCATACAAACTTTCATTCCCTATTTTATCCCCTTGGAGGTAGAATTGATCAAAATCCTTTCTTAGCGACCTATTGCCTACGTCATAACATCTACCTGCATGCCAAATTTCAGCCCGATCCGTCCAGTGGTTTGGGCTGTGCGTTGATAGATCACTATGTCAGTCAGTCACCTTTGAGTTTTATACATATATATATATATATAGATTGGATAATTCTATGTATAAACTGCGTGGATGTTTCGTCATCATTCCCATGTCACCGCAGTTCATCCGAATTTTAAAGATTATTTCTAAGAAAATCCATCTTTCTTACTAAGCAGAACGTACATATAATTAATACCTTAATACTATACTCTCTCCCTCTTATTAATAAACGAGGAATAAGCTTCGACTAGTTACACCGTGTTTTGTTCCTATCACTCAAATGCCATTTGTCATTCAATAAGACAAAACCACATGAGTGCAATAAATTGAATTAAATAGAAACATGAAGTAACAAATGCAAGATTCATCATCATCATCGTCAGCCTCTTAATGTCCCCACTGCTGAGGCACAGGCCTTCCCTATGGATGGAATAGGGAGATCGGGCTATGACCCACCACGCGAGCCCAGTGCGAATTGGCGAGTGCTAACGACTGCAGATACAACCGGGACCAACGGCTTAAGGTGCCTTCTGAAGCACGGAGGAACTCGAGATAGAAATTTTTGGTCACCCATCCAATGACCGACCACTGCGAAAGTTGCTTAACTACAACGATCGCAGCTGAACGCGCTAACCACCTACGCCATCGAGCTCCCAAATGCAAGCTTATTGTTCGCTATTGTTTGTTTATTAATAAGGGGATATTAGTTTTATCCGTACTGCATAAAGATTTCGGCTTCCGCAGCTTGCAATTTTTTTCTAGAGTTTCTTCATTTGCTTATTAACAGCTTTGTGTGAGTACATTAAGCTGTTAATCGTTATGAGTATAAAGATTTACTTCTTAACATTAATATCGTAAGAAAATATAACTAGAAAAAAATCCACGCGGCCAAGCAGCAGACGGGACTCGAACCCGCACCCTTGCACTGACCAATTACGCTACCGCAGCCCTGAGCGCCGCATCGAAATTCCTCTAGCTATTCTTAAGCTGCAAGGCAGCGCCATCTCTTCGCATTCGCACCCACAATGTCAAATGAATACTTTTTCTAGGTTATATTTTCTTTAGATTTAAACATCAAGCTGTTACATGCTTAAAAAATAAAAATTATAACTATAAATATCGTATGCCCTTATACTGTAACTGGCCCTGTTCATGTGCGAGCGACGAGATTTCATTTCGTCATCTTTCCGGCATCTCCTCAGTTTTTCCTATATTTAAAGGCTGGAGGGCGCAGGTCGTTGGGCGGGGTTGGGCGGCGCGACCTCTGACCCGCCCTACTTCACCCCGTCCCCCGCCCGCCCCCACCCCAGGGCGCGGGGTTACCGCACCTTAGGCAGATGCCTTCATTTCCACACCGTACGACTTTTGTTTGTCTTTTGTTTCGGCTCAGCGTTTCAGTACTGTAGGTACGTGAAAACGTTCCGTTTCGCAAACTTGAAATTCTAATAAGATTGAAAGAGTGAGACGGAAGATTTGTTTAGTGGAAATTATGGATGTTGTTAGATGTCTAGTTCTCGTTATACTTTTTAGGAAACTATTTACATATAGGTATATAAATTTTCTGTACTTAAAGAAATTTCTGAAGGAACGCACCTTTGACAGATGGCTTCATTTCCACACCGTACGATTGTTTTTCGTCTTTTCTTTCGGCTCAGCGTTTCAGTACTGTAAGTACTTAGTACGGCTGGTTAACTTGTTCGGGTTTCGCAAAATTGAAATTCTAATAACATTGGAGTCAGACGGAAGTTTTTTTAATGGAAATTATGGATGTTGTTAGATGTCTAGTTCTCATTATACTTTTTAGCAAACGATTTATATAAAATTTCTCTAAGGATCTAGTTGAAATAAAATTATATCTTACATCTTTATATATGATTGAATATTTACAGCTAAAAGATGAGATGACACAAATGAAAACTTAATAGCGTCACAAAAAAAAAGAATTGTGGACCTAATTGACAATTTAGGTCTGAATAATTTCAGTTTCACACGAGATTAATAATGTATGTTTTAAGCAATTTATGTTGCTGGTTTTTTTTCTTAGGACAATTTATCTAGAATAAAATCCACTCGGCTCAGTCAGCTGGATAATTAAGTTATTCATTCTGCTAAAATTACACTTAAGTATAATAAAAGTCCGAAATTTATGCAATGATATGAAGAGCGATTTGAAAAAATCATGAATGGTAGATCAATATACCTTAGTTCCTATAGGAATTAGAATGAACCTATATGGTATACTTATAAATCAAACATAATTCTGAGCTATCCATTGAGTTGTGATTATAATAAAAAAATCTTATTTGTTAAAAACACAAGTAACGGTTTATTTTATGTAGGTACCGTACTCGTATTTTTGTCAATAAAAAACTTCTTTACAAGAAAAGAAAACCAAAACATTTTAAATTTGGAACCGCTTCGGAGCAATATTCCTATTACGTATTCACAGTACGAACATTTCGTGCTCGCCACTAATGCGAGCGTGACACGTCATAGTACGCGCACGTCACGCTGACGAGTGGCGCAGGAGTGGCTGCCACCGGCCCCCCCACTCTGCGGCCACGCCCCGCGCATGCGCCGCCTACTCTGATCTAGATCGATCCAGATCGATGAACTGGGTGTCGATTCTGGTAAGTTATAATATAATACTGTAGTCGTTTATAAATGGATTTTCAGTAGGTTCTAAAACACAAAATCACAAACATGTTTGCATAATCTTTTATTATTGTTATCTTTAAGCATTTGTTTTCTATTTTAGTAACAAGAACTGTGCCAAAGAGCTTTACTATTGGGACAGCATTTTTACGTTAACTTAGCAGGATCAACACGCTGAAGTTGTTGATACATTATCCACCTTTATATATTTTTAATGGTGTAGTTTCATTGATTATTATCCAGTAAAAGATAGGTTCGTTACCTAGATATTTTTAATATTAAGATTATAAAATAACAACTATTTTTTTTAGAAGCGGAACCAGATTATCCTTAGCTTTTACTGAAGACTGTTTATTGAAACTTGCCGTTAACTGGACTATACCTACTCGTTTAATAGATTTTTATTGGTGATTTCTCTTGAGTGGTAATTGATGGAACGTTCAACGGACTTAATGCACGAGTCAATTGAGAAGGACTGGAGCGCACAATTAAACTGTTTACAAATCAAAATAAAAGAATATAATCTGAAAAAATGATGTACAGCACACAATAACATCGATTTAAGAAACTCCAATAATATGTCCTCGTAGAGTTACGTAATTACTTATGGACATCCGAGTTTCGAGTAGAAATGGTTCAAGTAAATGTGATGTAGGTAGGTGAGTATATAGAGCGACTATCAGGCGAGCAGAAATGTGGAGGTAGCGGGAAAGTTGATACAAAGTAGGATTTTCAGGTAGCGTCTGAAAAAAAATGCTCAGCATCATTTCTTCCTGATGAAAATCCTATTTAGACCTTTTAGAGCGAATAATAAACACAAAATATACTACTAAAATAAAATCAAAAGAAAAAGTTTGGTAGAATTTAGTGAATTAACTGCAAAATCTAGTAAGATAGTTTAAAAAAAAATTAAGGTAGGCACTACCGATAACGAATTCATTCGTCACGAAAAAATAATTCAAACGCACCGCAACACGTATTCCAAAAAGAAGCATGTATCTTAAAAAACAAATTGAAAACCGACCGCGACAAAATTTTCTTTACCAACCGTACTTGGCTACTGAAAGATTTCCCCCCCGCGGGGCGGGCGGGAGGGCGGGAGGGGGGGCCGGTGTCGAGGTGGCGGGGCCTTCGCTCCCTGCCCCTGCAGGCCACCGGGCCAATGGCGGAGCGGCGCGCCCTGGCACGACCCGGCTCAGTCGCGACTCAACCGCGACCCTTGACACACAAGCGCGCCGCGCGCCTTCTCGCCCGCGACGCCAACCGGCATCATCACGCACGGAGCGCTAGTTTACGGCGGGGTCGGAGGCCCGGGGCTCTGCCCTCCGAGAGGCCCTGACCTCCCGCCTTTGGAGCTCGGCTTCCGCGGCAGTTGGCGGGAAGACGAGCTGCTGCCGTCCACTCCCGCGAGCCAGGCTGCGTCGACGCAGAGCGGCTCCTCAGCCACAGACAAGGGCCAGAATGTCGAGTGCGTGGTCTGTGGGGACAAGTCCTCCGGCAAACACTACGGCCAGTTCACTTGTGAGGGTACGTACACGTGTGAAGTGAAAGTGATGTGCTTACGTATTGCGATTCTCGTGTGCTGTTGTATTATTGTAAGTGCGCTATCGGAATATGAGTGCTGTCACGGATCGGAACATGAGACCTCGCTGAATATCTAGTGCGCGTTAGGCAACTACGATTGAAGGTCAGAGGTCACCAGATATTAAAACCACTCTATGATAACGAACAAAAAGTTTTGCTTTGACAATTAAACTACCTTAATCCAAATTTTCTATTAAAATGAACAAAATACTTAATTTAATCACGACTTAAAATTATTGAGAAACTTTAAGAAATGGCGCTGAGATTTTGAAGTTTTTCGTCGGCGGTGAAGTGATATTAAATTTAAACTACGAAGAAAACCAAATATATGTAAAAATAAAATGTAAAATACTATCAAAATAGATGGAAACATGTTTACGTATTATACGTTTCTATGGACCTGTCATCTAAGAAGTCAAATAATAAAGTTTTTCTCTTCTCGGTAACAAAATAATTTTTTTTGTGATTCTCGTGAGTCATCACCGAATTTTAATCACTACATAGTTGTTTTGCCAAATCACTTCAATAATATAACTATTTTTAACTGCGTAAATCAAAGCTACAATGAACTCTACATCAAACTTGTTGTTGTGCCTTTCAATTAGGCAGGTACCTACTTAAAAAAAACAGAGAAAACCTTTTTTTTTCGTGAACGTTGAAAATATTGTGTTGATTAGGTAACAATACAATGTCATTTAATTAGGTCATTAACAGTTGTTGAAGCTCAAAAAACTTAAAAAGAACTTTTGCAATAATACCTTCCTATTTAAATAATGACAAAAATCAATCAAAAACATAAATATTATTTAGTTTCATTGACATAAAAATTAAATCGTCTTTGGAAATGAACAAACCTACCTTATTAAACAATTATCTTCAAACAAAAGCAATGAAATGTAATTTATCACTCCCCCTGCTAACCTCAAAAATCTCAATTACTCCCGGTTCTAATCAGAACGCAATAAGACAAAGTTTTCATAAACAGCCTGCCTCTAAAGATAAGGGGTGTCTCACTTTTATGCAAATGAAGCGATCGTGGAAATTGCCGTTTTCTAAGTTGAGCCCTTTTGCTACCCGCGCTACAATATAAATGTTGCAGTGACATTTTAATTTGCTCATTGTATTTGCAAAGTATACGGATAAGTCGAGAATTCGCTATATATTTTAGTATGAGTAGGAATGCTTCAAAATATTAATATGTACATAGTAACAACTTGAATAAATACGAGTTTTATTAAATACTAGCTGTGCCCCGCGGTGTTACCCGCGGTTTATTAGGGACATTTTCCCGCAGTAAAACGTAGCCTATGTGTTAATCCAGGGTGTCACCTAACTCCATACCAAATTTTAATAAAAATCGCTCCTGCTTTTTAGACGTGAAGAAGTAACATACTTACATACACACTCACAAACTTTCGCCTTTATAATATCAGTGTGATTTAATTTTAAAAATTAACGAACTACGAATCTGCGCGACGGAATAAGTTAAGAATACGGCATAAAGTTTAATATGATTAAAAATGCTTTAAAATATTAATTATATGTACTTGGACAAATACGAGTTACGATAAATAAACCATTTATCAGAGAATCCAATAAATTAGTTAATTTAAAAAACGAACTTCAAATTAGTGGTACTTACGTATGATATAAAAATAAATGACAACGGAATTGGGACGTTGCTGATAAAAACAAAAATAATTTTCCACCAAAAAGCAATTGAGGAATACCTTTAAACAATACCGCGAACAACACCAATGAGCCATTAACTCATTCGTGTCAATAAATTGTCAAAGACTAACAAAGGAATTATTGATTATAACTAAAAAGTTAATTCAATGGATATTTGGATAATTAAAAGACACATAGGTATATAACATATCAGCGAGACATTCAACCATTGAACAAAAGAATTTCTCCGTATTGTAGAGACTGTGTAGTGTGGAGTAATTAGGCGTTTCGTGACGTCAAATAATTACGTGGAGGATCAAGATAGTGCCAAGATTAGTACGAGCAAATCCTGGGAACGGGCTTGTGAATTTTCCATTAATTAATATGAATAACTGTGTCTTTCTTATATAGTTACATTTTTTGTAATGAGGCTGTTACAATTATAACAGATGAGCTAGGTAAAGATGACATAAACAATCAAAAATGATATCCGTAAGTTAACTAGGCATTTATTTATAAAAATTTTGGGAGACCAACAACTCATAAAAACATACATAGTTGAAGAAAAAAATTTGTTACAGATGGCCAATTACAGGTCTCCACGATTAAAAATCAGAATTCTTTATACTTTAAACATATAAAAATATTAATAAAAACGTATGAACAAAATTATAAGATTGGTCTACATAGGAAAGACGATTCGCCCTCTAAAAAACGTTACACAATGTTATATTAGTAATAGCAAATTAATGTTATCATTTAGTTTTAGTTCTAAATTGTTTTAGTATAGATACTATCACATCACTCGTTCAAAGAATTCACTGCATAGAAGACGCCTTGCAGTTGCTATACTAGAATTGAATATATCAAAGTCTTTTTAGGACTTGTAAAATTCGTTCAGTGCAATGCTCGCTCGCAATAAAGAATGCATTTTGTCGATAAATTTGTTCAAACTAATGATATTTAATACTGTAAAGTCTTATTTTTAATAAAGGTGTTAGTTTATTACTAAAAACGTGTGGTTAAGAGAGGTTGAGAATTTAAACGAGGAGAGCGTAATAGATCTTCAAAAACAAAACAAAAAAAAAACAACTTTTACAAGTTTTACGTGTCTTCTATTTTTTATTTTTTGTATTTCTCTAGTATTTCTTGGGCTGCTAACCAGCGTCATCTATTCGCATTGTAGGTAACCCACAATGTCAAACGAATAGCTTTACAAGCATTAAACGTTTGAAATAAGAAATAGCAATTTCAACTGGTCCGCGTGGAACATTTTCTAGTAATATTTTCTTTAGATTTAAACACCGAGAAGTTACATGCTTAAAAAATAAAAATTATTAATAGCAATTTTAGAAGTTTCTGTTTCTAAAGCATTTGAATGTTTGATGTTGAAGCCTAAAGAAGGCCTTGCAGCCTAAGAAATGCAAGAGAAAATTCGACACGGCCATTAGGGTTTCGGTAGCATAATGGTCAATGGATCCGCGTAGAAGCGGAGGGTGCGGGTTTAGGTCCAGTCTGCTGCCTGGTCCACGGGGAATTATTTCTAGTAATATTTTCCTCAGATTTAATCAACTATAACTGTTTAAATTGAATCAAACAATGCTGTTTATATTTCCACAAAACGGATAGGTGCAGATTTATTAATAGCATAGATTATTAACCAATATTTGTTAAGTATACCACATTTTACGATATTTTCGTGTGAATTTTCCTAGTTACTCATTTATGCATACTTTAGTGTGAGTTATAGAAAATTACAAATAAAGATACAGTCATTGGGTACATGCTTATAGTATAGACGGAAACGGAATCTACTAATATTATAAACGTAAAAGTTTGTATGTTTGATGAAATTTGGCACGCATATAGTTTATTTATTACCTGGATTGAAACATAGGATATTTTTTTACCCGAAAAAATTACAAGTTCCTGAGGGATTCTCAAAAAACTAAAGTTAACGCGGACGAAGTTGCGGGCGGCCTCTAGGCGTCTATAAATTTCTTATTAGTAAACCTAAAAATAGTTTGGTGTTAGGTAAAATATAATTTAATTTCATTAGATCTGTGGTGCAACTCACACCAATGGCGCGATTACACTTGGTCGTTAGCACGAATACGAATGCCAATAGAATTCGGGTAAACGACTAAAGACAAAAGAACGGAGTCGAACGCCCGTATTCCGGTAGATTTTCTTTTGTTTACCCGACGCCATCTTCCTTGTATTCCAATGTAAATATTGCTTCGGGTGCCCGAATTCGAGCAATGTCTTTCGTGTACCCGAATACGGGCAAACGATCCAAATTAAATGTGATTACTGCATAAGCCTAGAAATGAAGAAATGATTACCACCTCACTTGATGCAGCAGAAGGAATAGAACCTGGTTTGGTGTGAACTTATATAACAATACTGAGCTAAAAATCAAATCAATACTAATATTATGATAAATGCAAAGTAAATTTATATTTTACGTCTATACAAAAAACTTAAAACGTGTAACTTGCGCGTTGTGTGATCAAATGCGTAGCGCAAAATTCCTTGTGTGTGCTACGATATCTTATTGGTTTTAAGGTGATAAACTTAAACTTTTACTTAAACTAGCAATGAAGGATTTTGTACAATACCATTATGGCATGACGGCTCCCTTAAAATTTATACTTTTATTATAAAAACTATAAAATTCCATTGTTCCACTTAAACTTGGACCCACTGGATTTTTCTAGTAAGTAATATTTTCATTAAATCCAAAACGTTAGAATTTGTTTGTAGGTATTTAACTAAACGTATTTAAAATATAGCAGCTTTTTAAAAAAATACTTTTTTAATTACCACTCGTAAAAGAATATTTGAACATATTCAGGGACATAGCATCTACGCTATCAAATATTCCTTGCAGATAATAGCTTAAATCAACTTGCATGGCAAATATAGGAATTGTTAATGATGGGCTACCGACTCAGCAGTATTTTTACCGGGTTTAAAGATTACCGTAAACAAGTGACCTTAAGCTGCGTATACGGTAGACGAGCCGAGCACGAGCGGAGCGCAAGCCGAGCCGCTCGCTCGAAGTGTCAAGTGTGGACGTGCAACGAGCCTACATCAATCACTTTCCTCGAACATAGATTTCCGGTGTGCTCGTGGCTCACGGCGGGGACGGGCGAGTTGTTTGCAGCAACCGCTGCTGCTACAGCGATTATTATAGCCGAAATTAGTAAAACATCTAGAAGGCCAAGACGACGGGGATCTACAAATTTATATAAAGACAGATTAATTGC